ATTATGCACAGTCCATGAAAGCCATTTGTTTTCTCGAATCCTTTGATCGGCCCTTATCGTTAGTGATAAATTCATAGCCATGTGAATGACTATAACTTTTTGCGTAGATATCATAAAGAATAAGTGGGTAATATGTGGTGAGTGAATACTATGATATGAAATCGGGTTATTGAATTCAGATACTGATGAATCAAGTCAGGAATCTTGAGTGACATTTCTATGAGTTAAAAAAAATGATTTGAGTTCTCCGAACATTAGAAACTGAAATTATTTCAGAAGAGGAAAGTGAACAAAGATGTGGACATTTATTCTTCTATATCAATTTGTACAGGTAGTCCTTATTTTGGTTTCTGTTTTTCTCATTTTTACCATTACTGTTATTTTGATATCATCGTTGTTATTTTCTACTTCGTTTTTTTTTTCGCATTGTTCTAATCGAATACGCACTTTTAAAACGAACATTTTGTAGTTAGTTGCTGAAAGCTTCAGAATTCGTGTAATCGTTCATAAACGAACATTCAAGCCAACTTTCGAGTCCAACGATTTCCTTTTATTGCACCATATTGCCAAACAACTTCATCAATTCAAAACACTTACTTCAAAACATCAATTCAAAACACATGTTGCTAAAATGAATGAAAATACAATCGTTCATCGCTCAGTCAATCAATGCATTCGATTTTCCCATAGACATCAAAAACCTATTGCTCACGTCCAATATAGTTACACACCAGTTAACAGCAAAGAGTGTGTAGTAGAGAATGAGAAAAATCTATTAGGACAGGTCGAAAAGAATGAGAAATCGAAGAAATACCACATAAATTGCATGAAAAGAATGAGAATTTCAGTTAGAGATGCTCAAAGAATGAGAATAAGCGATGAAGTTATTGGAAAAGAACAAGATGGATTCCAAATCTTTATCCTTGCGTTTGTTCTTCGTCTAGCTATAAAATGAGGACAGGAGGGTTCAACTGAAAGAATCATCAGTGAATCAGTAAGATCCTGATATTTACAGGTATAAAACGGACAGCTCCCAAGTGATCGGTGGTCGCTCTCGGCTTTGTCTAATAGATTTAGGATTGGGCGAGAGAAGCTCAAAAGGTGATATGCAAACGCTAACAATGCCTGTTATCACTAATCTACTGGTTGCACTCTTTCAAGGACAACGACATTTACCCAGCCGGTGAGTTGTGCAGTCACTGATAGGGATAAGGAGTATATCAATTGGGATTTGACAACACGATAAGGCGTTGATAAATGTTTGATATTCAAGAAGATAACTCAAGACTGGCTCTCGTAGCTTCTAAAAATATGTTCTTTTGCGATCGTTTTGGTATGAAAAATGAGCAGTTTAGAGTCTAGATATTTTTATGAGCAGGATTTATTATTCACCATGAGAGCAAAAGAGAGGAAATTTTACTCGCCACAGAACTCAAGTTTGAAAAATGGACAAAAAAGCATGAGTATGACGAATTGTATGGGATTGAGTCATCTGATAATTGCTAAGGCTTGTTTTTTTTTTGTTCTTTTTCATACAAATACAAGTATGGAATGCATGATACATTGGCATTGCTAATGTGTGCATTTGTTGCGTCTAAGCCGTACTTATCCAGCTGGCTAGATTCAACATAGTAATAGTTATGGTGATAATGCTTGTTTTCAAACATACATATGGTCGTGAGCAGCACCCGCTGCCACCATATGCTCCGTATTTTGACTCCGATTTGATCATGTTTCGTATTTTCGAAACACATTTGCTTCTAATTTAGCAGAGTTCCGTTGTTTGCTTGATGCAGTTAAATATATTATAGCTAAATTTATAGCTATTCAAGGGCAAAAATCTTAACTAAATCTATTCGAAAACACATTGCTAAAAATAAGTCACTTGTTTGAGGAAAGGAGAGGGGGGATATAAGGGGAGAGAAAGAATTATTCGAATACCAACCGTCATTAAGCAAATTATTTATTTGTTGAAGGCAAAGCGCACTGTGTATGTTGCTGAAGGATTCACTGGGGAATGTTCGTTCGAAGAATTCAGTTCTCTTCGCGTCACTGTCGGATCGTATCTCAGAGACCGAGAATATCGTTCAGATGATGTCAAAGATTCAACGCGCCGCACGACCACGAAAATCCAATCGGGTATGCGCTTGAAGTTGTTGTAATTAGTGAATGTTTATTAACTGCAAACTTCTCGAATTGATTTCATTTGGATTGAATTTGAGCCTTGATCATCGATTGATCCAACTGAAACGCCTCTGCAGTAATTTACCTTTGCTGTTCATGAATATTTAGCATACAGTAAGTATTCCGGTCGCATTGTATTTTGACGATTACTGTGAAGTAATTATGACAGTTGCTCACGTCAAAATACAATTTGCCCTTATAATTGTACTTCCACTGAAACGTTTTGCTGAAGAGCGATTCACCGTGTTTGAAGGGTAAACTCCGGCGTGAGTGCATTGGAAATTGCGAAACATGGTTGCATGTTCGGGAATTGAAATGAGCGATTTTTTCGAGTTCCTGTTAGCATCGCTTTGGGTGAAATCCTTTGGGAGTGAAGACTGCTAATCGCTGAAACATTCTCTACTCAAAAATATGCGTTCGTGATCGAACTTTTGAATGATGAAATCTTCACTCTTTCCTTGGAATCCTCTATAAATTGCATGTTTTTGTTGACATGAAATCCAATACCTCATATAGTAGCAACTGTT